TTCACACGGGATATAAAACGCAGACACCTATGATCAAAGACAGCTAATCTTTTCATGTCTTCCGCTCTCAATGGCCAGGGCTCACAGCCAACCATAAAGGAGGACGGATCGGACTGATGAGCAGTACACATGCCCTTTGGTCGATAGTCGGATATCACGTCTACGCGAGAGACGGCGTAAACTGGCATATTCGAAACTAGCCCTCTGTATTCGTGCTGAGATTTCGTCGGAGATCAACCCGTTTGGGCTGATGGTACTTCCCAAGTAAGTGAAGCGGTTAACGTGCTCTACCACTTCACTTCCTATTTCTAATCTAAGGGTCGGTGTAGTCCAATCTTGCAGCATCATCTTACATTTTACAGGGGCGAATCGCATGCCGAAAATACGAAGATTGTTGCTCAAGGTGTTCAGTAGACTCTGCATTTTGTCAGCGTCCTGGCCTAGAAGGACTATATCGTCTGCATATTCTAAGTCAACGAGATTATTCCCTGGTAACAAGTCGATTCCTAAGGACTATGTCGTCTGCTGATTGGTGCAGTGATAATCGAACACCTCGTCAACATTGATCACTGTCATTCCATCTCAACAAAAGACTCCTTCAAAGTAACCGACAAACTCAACAACAACCTGACAAAGACACCAGACACTTTCGTCTCATTCGCACTGATGAAGCTTTAGCTACCCAGCTAGATAAACCGGAGATATGTATACAAAAGAAAGTTATTCAACCACTTCTATTACCATGGTAACAACCTTGTTGGTTTCTACTACCTTGATATATGTCTGTTTGCTTTTCTAACTCCTTATAACTAGTGTATTTCTTTAGAACTCTTACACAATTCCACAGTTTCCTACATTTCTATGTGTGTCCTGATTACAACTCAATCATTAAGTTATTCATCTTGTCAAGTAACTCTAATACACTTATTCAACTCGTCTTATGCATTGACTAATACTAACTGTGATTATGACAACTCACCACTTTTGGTACTACCATATTCTATGAACAAGACATTGTATACAAATGCGAGAGAATGAATTCGCCGAAAAGAGACTCTTCGCTGAACTACGTGTTTTGTTTCTAATAACAGTTAACTCATAAATGATATTTATGATATATTTTTAAAGACATATTTGCAAGCAATTAAAAGTATCTACATGTCAGTATATATAGAGAAACTTTTATTTCAGTGCCCCGTCAGTTGAAGATGTAGGCGGTATGTATCTCGCTGTCCCGCTAGTAATTATATTTCATTTCATACAATTCTAGAAGTGTAAAAACTGGTAAGGTAACTGAGTCGTAATTAAAACCAACTTCAACCCGATTAGTTAGTCGGTGGTTCAGTGGCAACAACCACTCAACAACCACGCCTCACATGGTCCGAGATTTGACTCCCAACCGACGAACTCCTAAACCTCGCTTAGCCGGTAGTAAGCTCAGTAGAGAGGGAAGGTGGGGCGTGAGGCTAGCAAACTCACCCCATATAAAAAGACAAAAAGCATCACCACTGAAACTTCAGAGCTGGAGCTTGAAGCTCTATGTTCCACTGGGAGAGCAAAGGAATAAAATAAATATTAATAGTCAACCCGACTAGTTAGTTGAAAGCTACTGATTAAAGCAAGAAGAACAAGATTTACAGACTTGCTGAGATTTAAATGACGATTCAAATGACAAGTTCCAACCAGACTGAAACCCAACATCCTCCGTCAAATATGCTTTTATATCAAAGAGACTTGGTCTATGCTATTTCATGTGTTAATAAGTGCAAAACAGTGTACACAATAAATAATATGTAAGGCAACATCTGCATGCATGCTGGTATATTCATTCAATAATCAATAACACCCATCGTGTGAGAGCCAGTCATATTACCTTTCCGGCCATAACTCAGGAGGTGGAAGGGGATTCAAATGTAATAACTTGTCGATTGAAAGTATAATCGATTGTCTAATCCAGTGAGTTGAAACTGTACAACCAGTTTATAATATAAAAAAATGAACTAAGGAATTATTACAGGTGTATGTGAAATCCTGCTTTATAGTTAATGTACTAATACCATTATGTGGGGATTTGACTAAGTGAAACTGCATTTATACTGTAGCGTGGTGTGTACATTGGAAACTTCGCTGAGAGAATTCAGTATGTAACACAGTGCCCAAGTTTTATACTTATACCCACTACAATCTTGCAAGACGTCAATAGCGGGCCTGAATAGCTCAGTAATAACGTCTCTGAGTGCAGCATTGGGTGACACGCATCCAAATCTCAGAAGCGACATAAGTCCCTTTAAGATTGTAGATACGCCTTTCTGACGAGTGCCGACAAGCACGAAACCTAGGTCAAACAAGACCTCCTACCGATTGCCTGGAACCATCTAACAGACTGAATAATTTCCGGCAGAAAGTTACCATCAAAGAAAAGTTTCTAATCTCATGATTACAAGTTATTTGAAATAGAACTCTTGGAGATACATAGGTCTGTCTCGATAGCCTAAGCATAGTTAGAGAGTTTCGGATTCGAGACCTATTTCTTCTACTTAAATCTGACCTACAGGATAGCATTATAAGTTCACACGTATCAAATATAACTAAAAGTGAGTAACATTCAAAAAAGTGAAGCAATATCTGAAACAATATCTAGGTATCCATATCAAGGAATGATAGTGCATATAAAATAAACCAGTTCTATTCATTATATTGGGGAATAATGAATGAGAAAAGACCAGAAAAGGTGCGCTTGAAAAGGAAGGTCCCCCCAACAAACTGGGAAATCAATATGGTAGTGAAATAGTATTTAACTTACTTACTTTACTTTACTTCGGCTATCTCCTACGGAAGGATGAGCCGGCTTCATGAACATCTCGAATCATCGCTGCCCAGGCGCGGCGATCTGTTGCAAGGTTTTGCGACAAGGTAAGAGAGTTCATGAAGTTTCATGGGAATTTGGTACGAGTGATGTCCCCAGAATCTCTCGGCCTTTTGTTTGAGAGTGCAGCTCTAGCCTTTACACAACCAAGTGTGACCTACAAGGCAGTAGGAGTGGAGTAGGGAGTCCACTATCCATTGGCAGCCGGTGACCGGAGTTCGGTTCATACGCCTTTTTGAATGGGGCCAGACATCCCGCACATCCAGCAAGCCCTTTGTCCATACATCTGCCGGTGAGCTTCAAACGCCAGTTGTTGGAGGTTTGGAATCAGGGTTTAGCCATCTCCCCTAGACTGTCATCCAATGGACAGTCAACCCGGTGAACAGCGCCGGGCATCCGCTTTCGCCCTCTCACTTTGGTGAAAAACACCTCCGCCACGTGAAGGCAGTGAGTAGGACTTCCTTAGGAGAGGCTATGTAAGACGCCCGGTCATATGGGAGCATTTCAAGAGGTGTTCGGAGGGGTGGCCAACCCGCAGCGCAAGGCACCCACCCCCGACCATCCTGAGGCTTTGGAGGCAAGCCAGCTCCTCGTATTTAAAGCATAATATATATTTTGAATGGCTCCATAGAATAATAATGCTTTATAATTAAGCAGTAAATTAACTCCCAAAACACTATATTCATTTTCAACTTATTCTGTTCACCAATAAGTGAACTCCATGTATTATAAAATAATTGAACTGCATGTAGATAAAGGGTAGATTTATAGACCAATTTAAGATGTACATTGACTTAAGACCTAAAAACAAGGAAGGCTATTCATTCAAATCGAAATATGAAGTGTATATAGTTACTTCCAAATAAAAGGTATCATGCTGAAGTAGTTTCAGTGAGTACATATCGTGAAAAGCGAAATCAAATTTAACATTTAATATACACTAAAAGTAAAAGCAGCTCGATTCCTTAAAATTAACCAAATAAAAGGAGAGTATAAACATTGTTGATAAATATGAATATCTAAAGCTACTCATAGATTTAGAAAGGTATGTAGATCTGGTACCCTGCTCAACTCCAATTACGAATATTACTGTAATCAGCAACTAATTATATTAAAGAAATATAACGACTAAAACATCTGTCTATGACATAAAACGTATAATGCTAAAAACGTTATTTGACTGTAAGACCAACGAAATATAATCTGATACACAACAAAAATATGCCATGTACAGATCCACCAATAAACAAAAGCAAGTACAACAAAAAGAATAAAAAACAGTACACCGCAGCCGGACCAAGACCGATGTTCACCGACAAAACCACACGACAGGGTAGAACAACCTTTATCTCAGGAATAGTAAAATTCCGCGACAAAATCTCATATTGTCTTGAAATTTATTCGTTAAATTCATTCCCTAAATTTGGGAAGTAACTGACACAGTTTCATCTTGTCACGTCTAGGAGAGTACACCATTTCCAATGCCTTGTAACAAGCTATCATAACTGACTGACTGACTGACTGACTGACTGACTGACTGGTTTCAACGTAGAACTTTGCACAGATATGCAGCAGTTCGAGTTGTCACACTACCTCCATATAGCACACAAAGCAAGAGAAGAGAGTAAAGGGACGTTCAAAGACACATAATAAGCAGAAGTGTGAGGCAAACAGAATAGTAATATGGAAGAACATCAGATTTTTATTGGATATGACAAATCACAAAGTTTGAATGCATCTACGCTATTGACAACAATTTTGAGGCATATCACCGATTTTCTCCAGCCTTCATTTGCTTTCACCATCCCTAGGACCCCAACCAAGAGGTCTACACCCCTCTAAGTGAATTAAACTAACTGTTGAGGGTTTCATTGACTGACAGAGCCATGTTTTGGTTTGACCACCACTGACTTTTCCAACCAACCCGATCCTATGTCACCCTAACATCGCCCGTCGAGGAAGACGGTGGCTAGACATACACAACACGTGTCCTAATCACCCATCACAACTACAGAGAAACGACACGCAAATATCAACCACAAAAAATCAAGCTACACCACACTAAACCTTAAGATTCTAAACCACATTACACTCTCCAATCAGAAAATTCATAAATCAACGCAACATGACTTACGTCTAAAAATTTTCTTAGTATCGTCCAAAAATATTGAAGTCAGCCAGCGGCAACAAACACAAGCTTTACGCACACAAACTTTTCGGCTGAGCTCAACGCTGTGTGAACCAGATAGCCTTTCTTTTCGATTTACGGCACCCCTGAAATAATGCATGACAACACGCAGTATGAGAGAGGACATCTAAGTATGAAACTGTAGCATATATCCAATGAATGTTCAAATATCTCGTACAGAAAAAGTAAACAAGAAATGAAATTATGGAGTAAAATGCCGGCCATGGCTATTCGGATATATGCTTCAAATCATGACCGAATGTCAAACACCAGTCGGGCTTAGTGGTCCCAGCGCCGTTCTCTTCGCATAAACATTACTGAACGTAGCCGTGTATGTTCACATACGTATGCATGTAGTCAGTGACACTTTTTGTATCTCAGGCTACAGCTGAAGACGCCCAAATCGAGTTCAGAGAACATAGTGAGCGAATCTGGTTGCTTCACCTACACCGAACTCCAAACTTTACAGAATCCACCCACAGAGTAGGATTTTGTAGCTCTCAAGAAAGCGAATATGTCAAATTACCCTCATGTAATTGGCTAAACGAGACATTATAATACTGTGTCTCTATCTTTCACGTCACGCTGAGTGTACGGAAGACAGGTTTTCCATGGCTTTTAAAAGCAACTCGCAACTTTGACAAAATCTTTCTGCTAACTGATAGTCAGGTAGCGTCAATTCTCAGGCACGAATGACTGCTTGGACACCAATATATAAAAGTTGTTTGGAAATCCATGCGAAATAAGGTGGAGAAGATCAAACACGTTAAACAAACCATAAACAACACTGCATATGTCCACGGACCTGAAGTACACCCAGGATGACATCCAGAATAACTACATAGCTGAAGCTGTCAATTTCCAGTTGAGATTTCAGAGTAGGGCATTTCAAATGAGGCACACAATAGAATGCTTAAAATCTAAGGAAAACTATCACAACACACATGCCAGAGGAAATTTCAATCGGGACACGAACATGCTATTTGATATTTTCACCACATGACCCAGACCAATGTGAAACGTTGATAAGTTGTGGTAAAGTAACGGGACAAAGAGAAACAGAAAATAGCAATAAACAGACTCGTGTCCCGAAAAATGCACAAAGCAAAAGACAGTGGAGGAGTGGTGATAAACCGTAGTCCTAACAGAATGACTGCAGAGGGAATATGTAGGGGACGACGCGAGAATAAATATGTGCAAGTAGTTCCATAGACCTAGGTTTCACTTGTAATTAAGGCAGTAACTATAATGACAACGAATAGTGGTCGCAGATGTTACTGAAAATACTACAACAGGAGACTGATGCTTCAGCTCTGCTCGCCTCCCCCCCCCCTAGATCGACCGGCAAGGTCAGTGAGATCATGTGACTGCAACTGCTTGAAATCCTACAAACAATCTCTACATCTCAACACTGTCTGTGGCAATCTAGTTCTCACACTCAATGTCCTTCTCATTAACACAACAACTCCCGTTTCCCAATTTCGGGCCCTTCTAGATAAATCACCATCTCATTCCCCAAACAAGTCGTACGACGGTTTTATGTACATTTAAGTGACACCTGGGTGTCACACTAATTTCAGCTGAGATAAATGTTGTAGGTATTGAGAAATTAAGATGACATCTTAGTGCAGACTAGCTGAGAAATAAATATTCGTTAAAATATAATCGTTCTGCAGTGGAATATATGAGAAAAAAGTTGCCAGTGAAAAACCAGGCTACCGAAACATACGACTATCCAAGAGTGCAACAATACCGCACTTTGGACTCAGCGCGGCTTATCTGCAACCTGGAAATTCATGCATTCAAACCCTACCACCAAAGTATCCATCACACCCATCCACAGTGATAACCCGAGACTGAATACAACCTTGATAATCGATATAGCGCTTTAACAACTCATGGAATTGTTGATAATCCCATCAGTAGCTCGACTACATGTAGGTGCAGCCAGTAAGTGAAAGTTATCATCTACCTCAGGCAGAGTTGAACTTAGCTGAAAAATGGTAGATAACCTCCTGAAATTTGACCAGTAGGCTCATCAGTCAAACTTTGATGTCACTGGCACGGTTTCTTCTTGCCACGTCCGGAATGCTTCGCAGTGCCACACAGAGTCCCTCAATATCGTACGGAAGGTCTAGAAGTGTATAGCATGTTCAATGCCGTGTAAAGAGCTGTCATAACTACAGAGAAAAGCCACACAAATATATAATCCACTGCAATACGCCAGAACTCCTTTCAAACACCATCTAAGGAGTACGTAAACCAGATTATAATGTCACTCATTTGAAAGAAGCTAGCTAGTCTCCTCAAAAATTTTCGGAGGTTCCTATCCAGACAACAAACATAAGCTTTAAGCACACAAACTTTTCGGCTGAGCTCAACGCTGTTTGAACCAGATAGTCTTTCTTTTCTATTTACGGCACCCCTGAAATAATGCATGACAACAAGCAGTAGGAGAGTGGACATTGTAACGGTAAATCTACATCGCTACATCTCTTTTCATCTTCGTTTAATATTTGCTCTCCTCTGTTACGCGTGGATAAGTGTTAAGTAATTGACATAAATTTGATTTATGTCGAAATCACACGGGTGCTGTTCTCTTTGACATTAGTTTGTGGTCACAGTTCGCTAACTGGTCATTCAATGGAGCACATTAAGAAATATAGAAAGATTGTCTTCGCACTAACCAAAAAACCCAAGTATAAATAAATAAATAAATAAATTTATTCTCATAGTACAGTACATGAGGGACGCCAGTTTACAGGCATCATCAAATTGTTACAGAAATAGAACCACATAATTCAATCACAATTTACAGGCAGTAGCAAGATATGCTTCACATGTTCGTTGGAGATTGTACATACACTTAATAAATGTTAATCCTAGTAGTATAAAACAGCCTTTTCACTTATATACAATCATTTCTGTGCAAAGTTGGAAAAATCTGCTGGATTGTCAGTGAATGCAACACAACAGGAAATACAGGAGTATTGTCTTCGCATTAACAAAAAAACCAGGTCTTTGGTGGATGGATTATAAGTGCCTGGGAAAAAAATAAAGCTTGAAGTAAATATTCATACATAACTTTGTTGTGTGCAGAGTCCTCGAATTATAGTCCATTGATGTGTTATTTTGGAATCAGTGATGTGTTTATCTCATTTGATCTTCAATGTCATTGTTGGGAGTAAGTACATAAGCTTCGGACGCATTAATTAATGGATTTCTACTGCTTGTGGGTATTTTCTTAGCGTGAGGAAGGTTTATGAAATTCAGCTGTTCCGACAGGAGTTGAGAATATTAACTGCTCAGCAACATTATGGATATAAGTTCATCACATTATCTAAGGAAAGGTGGGTTGCAGTTGGTGAGGGATATATGGTGCCCAACGAGCGTTCATCTGTCCATGTGATGTTGTGGTGAGTTATACCTTTTTCATGTTGTCGGTTTATGTCCATTTTATTCCACTTATTGTGTTGGGTAGTAGTTTTACAAACGAGATTTCTTGTCTGTTTGAGGGTACGTATCTTAACCGTTAATGTTTTATCTAGAATTATAAATATAGGCAAAAAACAACAGGTGTAGTATTTAAGCTTATACATTAAATGGACCTATAATTTCGGAGGCTCTCAGATAGGAACTAGAACTACTATCGTTTGCAAACTCTTGTAGTTTGTCATTAAGCACCTTTTTGAAGGAGGCCAATGTACTTGCTTGACGCATTTCCATTGGCAGTTTATTCCATATCTGTGCATACCTAATCAAGTAAAACTTTTGCCTGGTGGCTGTTTTACATTGTTCGATGGCTACTGTACCCTTAGTGTGTCTTAGTTTGTAGCCATTGTCATCTGAAAGTCGAGTGCCATTAGTAGAGGTAAAAACTAAGTGGTTTAGAAGCTTATAGTAAAGTGTCAAGTTTAGTCTCAGGCGTCTTAGCCATAGTGTTTCTAGTCCTAGGGTATCACATCTAGTGGAGTAGTTCGTACCATTTTCAGTTCCGAGTAATTTTAACGTGAAGTACCTCTGCACTCCCTCGACTTTCAATTTGTCCTCTATGCGTATGCTACTATACATGAATGAACAGTAATCAAATAAAGGACGCACACAAACCTTGTACAACAGAATTCTAGACTCATTTCTGTAGAAGTTCCTGAGTAGAAAGCCGATAAGTCTGCGTGACTTTGACACTTGTTTGGAGATATGTTCAGAAAATGATAAGTTATGTGAATATTTCAGCCCTAGGTCCAGTACAGATTCCAGTCGTTGAAGTGCATGGCCTTGAATTGTCAGGTCAAGTTCTAAATTGTTGCAACCTATGCAGAGCCAGCCACATTTTTCGACATTAAATTGGAGTTGCCAGGTGTCACACCATCTATCCATTTTTTCTAATTCTTGCTGTATGGCGTTTACTGTTATTCCAAGATCTGTGTTCTTGCATTTATACGTCACTTTTAAGTCATCTGCATATAGTATTGGTTTACCTACACTAAAGCATTCACAGATACTGTTTATATATATTATGAATAAGAGTGGGCCTAATACACTTCCCTGGATTACACCACTACTTACTGGTTTAGGCCTTGAGATTATCGAGCCAACTTTCGTTGTCTGACTTCGGCCACAGAGAAATGATTTTATCCAGCTCAGGAGAGGATCACATATCCCTAGTGAGCATAACCTGCCGACTAGCAGATTATGGGGAACTCTGTCGAAGGCTTTTGTTATATCGAAATATAGTACAATTACTAGTTCTCTGTTGTCCCTACTTCGTGTAACTTCATTGAAAAAGTCTATGTGACAGGTCACACATGATCTTTTTTTAAGAAATCCGTGTTGTGATGGATTGATAAGTTCATGTTCTAGTAAGTTGTCTGACACTTGGTCTTTAACCACTTTCTCCATTATTCGGGATATTACCGGTGTTATATTGATAGGTTTATAGTTGCATACACTGGTTTTGGCCCCTGCTTTGTGCTTAGGTAATATGTATGTGGTTTTCCACACTTCAGGATAAGTTCCAGTTTCCAACGAGAGAGTAAATATTCTAAGTAACAAGACTACCATTTCCGTGCTACCATTTTTGTACATGACAGATGGTATGTCATCTGTTCCAGTACTACCATTAGACTTCAAAGTCTTAATCGCTGAGTCTATATTTTGTATATTAAAGTCTATTTCGCCTAATTTGTGGTTACTTTTGCAGGTCATTTGGAAATTTTGGGTCGGGTGCACTCTGGCGTCATTGCAAAACCACTCATTGAGGAGTTCACTTATAACCTGGGGATCATTGTATATTATACCCTTATGCTCCAAGCTGCTTACAGTATTGTCTTTACTGCTTTTCAGACGTTCCTGCAATATCCTACAAAGTTCCTGAGTTTTGGAGTTACCCTTAAGCGCTTTATTTTCTTCAAGTTGTGACATCATCTTCAAGCAGTTTAGGAGTTTCATGTATTTGGTTTAACGCATTTAATTCCTTAAATACATGGTATTTCCTTTTCAATTTCTTTAGTTTTAGTCGCGTTTTGCGGTCTATAAATGGAGTTGGTGTCTTTAGAGCAGATTTTAGGGGCGCGATTATGTCTCTTGCTGAGCCAATTGTTTTGTAGAAAATATCAAGTGATACTTCTAAGTTATTGTTGATGAAATATTCTTCCCAGTCAGAACTTCTCAGCAGATCTGATAAGAATTCCCAATCGGCATTCTTATAGTCCCTATACTGATAGTGCACCGGGGAATTTTTAGGTGTGTGTTTAGTTGTTAGTCGGAGGGGTAGCGTGCAGTACAATATGTTGTGATCACTGTTATCAAGTTTACTTCCTACCTCTATCGAGATGGGCTCTATTTCATGACAAAGGATTAAGTCAAGAGTGTTTTCATTTCTTGTAGGGAGGCGTACGCACTGCTTCCATCCGCCTACGTCTATAGCTTGTAGTAACTCGTCACGGATTCTAGGTCCTGTACAGGTATCCCAGTTTACTCCAGGTAAGTTGAAATCGCCACAGACTACTTTGTAGTCAAAGTCCAGCGTAGCTGCATGCTCAAGTATTTCTCCAATAGTTATATCAGTCATCTGAGGGCTATTAGGGGGTCTGTATATACATCCCATGAGAATTTTATTTTCGTTTGTGTGGATGCTTATCCACTTAGATTCAGGGAGTTTGTCAGTAGTTGGGTTATTGAAAGTAGTGGAGTTAGTGGATTTAGAGGCATATATTAAGCAGCCGCCTCCTCTTTTGTCAACTCTATCGTTCCTATAGATGTCGTAGTTGTCTATTACTAGCTTTGAGTCAGGTATATCAGTAGTAAGCCAGGTTTCAGTCACCATTATTAGTGTTGGCCGTTCTATGTATGCCAGGCAGCGAAGCGATGTTATTTTGTTAAGGAGAGATCTAGCATTCAGGAGCATAATCGTTAGTAAACCATAGTTTTTGGGGGAGAGGTTAACATGGTTACTTGTTACTATTCCTACGTTATGTTTGGAGGGGCTTTGAGGTGAGACAGAGTCAGTGTGTGTACTATTTCCTGGATGAATTGTGCAGCGAGTGGGGCTATTGTTTGCTGCATCCGAAAATAATCCTGTTGCATGTTTTGACTTTTAGCATCCATAGGTGGGTATCTGCGTTCATTTACTGGTGATATATAGTTTGCTCGACCTAGGTACCCTGTGTTAAGATTACCTTGGTAGTTGTACCTCATGGGTCTTTCATAGTTGTATGCATATTGGCTCACATCACATGTGTGAGTGAAGT